TTCTTTAGAAAACCTGTTGTCTTCAAAATATATCAATCTTCTACACTGCAATGAAACGGTCTTCTGTTGGACACTTTTCGTTTTCCATATACATGACTGAACATTACATAAATTCTTGAACAGTCATTGCACGTCTTAGTCCATCATGCTTCTTCAAATGTGGTGAAATTACTTACCATATTCTAAGTTTGCAAAACTATTAAAGGGAATCATTGACTTTTACTTGCAGTTCATTTGATTTCTTGTAAAAGAGTGCAAGTTCCAATGATATTTGTCTTTGTTATTTCAAGGAAAAATTATTCAAAATGTGACTACTCTTTATTATTTTTGGTTCTTAACGTGTGACTCCTTGTCCATACACATGTATTTCTCCTAAGAAGAGATGCTAGACTTAAAGCTACCTACATGATGGACCTGTAAGCAGTCATGGCTTTCCTCATCTATATCTCATGTCACAGCTCCACTGGACTCTCAGAATCAAATGCAGTCATTTGCATCCACAGTTCCATCTTCATTCCAATGGCTTACATCTGCATGTCTGGAGTGCATGTACCTTGTGATCCTAATTATGACTGGGTGATGAGGCATTACAGAGAGTGTGGAAAGAAATTCTTTTTTCACTATAAGCATTGCTGCTCCTAAGAGCTGATGCTATTGCATCATTCACACCTGAATTGTCTTTCAAAGCAACACATTCCAAACCTGAATTATTACTGATCATCTTTTTCCCTTGCACTGAGAATATTCTGACCCTGTATGACAATTAAGTGTTGTCAGCAGTGTGTGGCACTGCTGTGTATTAATTGCTACACAAAGGGATAACATATCTTGTTTCCTGTCCTTCGTACTGACAGACTACATGTACGCAGTTGGAATAACAGCAGTTGAATTAATGGCAGCTTTCTTTCCTTCAAAGTAATGAATTAGTTCTTTACCTGCCTTGAGGGTCGTGAGAGAGATTGCAAACATGCTACAAATATCTTCCCTTTCTCTGGAAATTTCTGCATCCTCTATCTTTGTAAGTATTAAATCTCTACAGATTTTCCTGCTGTACTTTCAGCATAGGGCAATAAGTATTCCCATTTCTTAAAATTTTTTCTCTACATTATTATTTGGTTTTTCTTTGTCCTGTGGTCCAAATTCATTAATTTCTACTCCAGTTCCTTGTACTGAATCATTGATTTTCATTCCATTTTATGGAGAAATCAACTGCTGTCTTAAACCTGGATGCATGACACCTGAGTTAAGTCTCTCTCTTTCAATTTAAAATTTAATTTAAATTTTTTAATTTAACTTTAATCACAGGTATTTTTTGCTAGCCACAAAGTTTATCAGTTCCCAACTCAAGGAAAAATGTTTTTCTGATTCTCAGTATCAGGCAACAAAAAAACTTTGTGTTGTTTCATTTTATAAGAATGAAGTATTTATCTTATAATTTTATTAGTCATGCCCATGTTTCAGATACAATTGCTGACAGTATTTTCACAGATGTGTCAATTCTTATGTGTCAGACATGGCAGTGATTCATGAGACTCTATTCTGAGTTACTTGAAGCCTCAATCTAAAATCTTTGTTACACACACACATGTAACTCTCTTCTATGTCTATGTACCAACCAAATTATATCCACTAATATATACAAATACATTTTATCTGAAAGTCCAAAAGTCTATTCTGTTTCTATAATTCTCTGATACTCTTTTCACTGTGTTTTAATTTACTGCAAGATTTGCTTAGTAATCAAGATCTCTTGTTCTGAGTGTCCTTAAATTTCCATTGTATTTCACTAATTTATTGCTAGAAAAAAAATAAAGATTAGATGTTAATGAAAATTTGTGATCTTTGTCAAGGCAGACATTTATCCAAATACTAAAAGTAGACCTAACTGCACACCCCCCAGCACTATTCTCTGGAGCATTAACCAAATACATGTCTTCATAATTTTTATTCCTTCATCCAATTGTGTTCATTTTAATAACATCATTACAGTAGGCTTGATTTGCTAGCAGTAGAGACGTCTAAGGAATGGGAAGAAGAAAAACAGTATCTGAAGTGTGTCTGAAGAGTCTAGGGTATCTTAGTGAGAATTTAGAGTTTCAGAAATAATTAAGCGGAGTCAGATACTATGGCAAGATGTGTATATTTGAAGGGAGGGTGTTTCATAAAAATAAACATTACATTTCATAAACATAAGCATAAAAATTCCTCCCTCTGCTCTGATCTCAGTGGAAGGATTTTACAGTCCTCTCCTCAGGCTTTCCCTTCCTTCACTTAATACCCTGTGGTGACCCATTTTCTCCTCCCCATATGTTTGTTCACCTTTATGCAAGTGTGTTTGTATTTTCTCACACAGACTAGCTTTTCCAATTATTCATTACTAACCATTGTGTCTGCAAATGCTAGACTTTAAGATGCAGTAAAATATGCATAAGAATATGGATTTTTGTAAAAATAGGTTTTTAAAATGGGATGCGAGGGTTTTTGAGAAGCAAGTGAATGACTAAAACACACTAAATAAAATGTCAGATTACTAATTTCTCAGTTCTCAGTTGGACAATAGCCCTTTTACCCTTTGGAAGTTGTAGTGTGAAGTCTGAATGCAAACCTAACCATGATTTTCTTTGCTGTACACTAAATCACAGGAAATGTGAAAGACAGAGTACTAGCAGGAAGATCATTTGTTGGGCAGATAATGTTAGGGCAAGTCAATTCTAACGGTGTTCTCTATTATTGCAACTAGCGTATAAATAGAGCTGTGTGACCTGAGAGCATACATCTCATTTTGTTTCTGTAGAGTAACAGTACCGACAGAATGTCTATAAGAAAATGAAATGTATATCTCAGTTGGAAAAGAAAAGAAGTAGATCCCATCTTGTTGCCCTTGCTACAGCTAATGTGATAAAAAAAACCTGCTGTCTCCTCAGCCAGGGCGCACATTCCTTCAGTAAATTTATTTGAGGGTGTTGAAAAACCCTACCAAAAGCACTGGTGAGAATGACAGTTAAGTTTCAACAGAAATAATTGTTAATTGGAAAAGAAAGTTGGGGAAGTAAAAAGAATTGTAAACATATATAGAAGTTGATAAAATGAAAACTCCAAATGTGTTCATGGGACACTGGCTTCACCTGTGGGTATTAATTGCAGGAACTCTTGTAAAAAGATCTAGGTTCTTTCTGCTCCAGTGTATAAATATGTACCTACCAATTCATTAGGTAGAAGTCCAAATACTGCCTGCTTGAAGTGCAAATTATTTTGAATTAATGACAAATTGCTTCCATTGATATAAATGAAAAGTAGGTCAGATCATAGATAAAATTATGACTAAAATACCAGACAATTCTATTCACTGTAAATATTGCAGCTATAATTTCCATTCCTTAAATATTTTTATATTTGCTATTTGACTATTGTTTTTTATTTTTTTATTCTTTGGGATAAAAAGCATTTTTAAGTATAAAATATTCACAAGACACCAACTATTTAGGTCATTTTTTCAAAACTGAAACTATTGCATTAGGGTCAGACTTACAGTAGTGAATAGAAAGTCCCTTCAGTGGAGTTCCCAGTTTAGAACAGTGAAGTGGCCTATTCATTAAAGATCAGCTACATAACTTCGGGAAAATCAAATCCAGTTAGATGTCATGAATTAACTAAGGTGATAAAAATAGCTATTTTTAGCAATTGGACACAGACTAATTAATTTAAAATCAAGTTTCAGTTTTACAACACCCTAGCTTCTTTATTACATTCTCTGTCCCTCCATCTGATATAATTATGAAAGACAGTATTTATAGAAGCATTGGAAAAAATTAAGGATAGCCTTCTCAGAGTCTCTACTATAATCATGCTAAATTTTAAAGAAGTGTGCAATAATTATGGAAAAAATAGTGCTTGAAACATAAATACCAGATTACATGCCACTGTTAAATGGGCAGACATTCCTGGTGGAAAATGAAGCAGTGTTTCTGGAGTTAGACTACATTTGATCTGCATAATGTAGAAGCTGAACAAAATATTTTAAAATTAACATACTTTAAAGTGCAGGCTTGTTTATCTGGTTGGGGTTTTTTCTTTATAATATATACATGCAAGCTGAGGTAAGTAATTTTTTATGTACCCATTTGGAACCAAAGCCGTTAATGATTCAAGAACATAGCAGATTTGATGCACTATTGATTTTCTACCTCAGCAATAGAAAAACAATTGCTTTATGCAAAGATATGTTTTTCTGTGTTTCTGCCATCAGTCTTTTTAATGCCTATGTAATGCAGCATTTATGTAGAAAAAGAATTTCACACAAGGGTGAAAAGGAAGAAAAAAAACAACTCTTTCATAGGAACTTAGGCAAGTCTTCATATTGGAAATTAACTTTTAAGAGGTATTTAATGCATTTTCCAGTATTAAGCATCTGCACTCTCACTTCCCTGCTCTCAGACCACATTCTGGTGTAGCTTCCTGCAGTGGTGCACTGAGTTTCCTTTAGTAGAAGCCTTAAATATGAGGGGTTTGCCTTAAGCTTTCCTGAATCAAACTGTGGTTTGTGTGAGAGGCATCAGCCAGACAGCAGTTTGGAAAATCATTCCCAATGCCCCTAAGGAAAGGCAACTCCTGGGTGTGATGCACCTGCAACCAAGATGAGTTTGTCTCTGTTCTAGGATTTCTTTGCCTGTGATGTGCAGACAGCTTGGAACGCTTCAGAAGTGGAGAACAAATCACAGAAACAGTTACAGTGTAACCTTCCTGTGATATATTACACTATAAGGGCTATTTTAAAACAGCATTCACAAGTCACTAAAAAGCCCAAGACAAAGCAGTAATTTAAGTGTTTATAGGTGCAGACAACAGAACATTTAAGGCAACAATCCCATCAGTTCATAAATCATTAAAGGTGAAACTGCCTCCAGTCCATTTCAAAGTTCAAGAGTAATAACCTGTAGAAATGGTATATGACATCGATACAGAAACCCGAAGCACTTATGCATGCTGAAAATAATAACTACCTTTCTTCAGAAGGTCTGTTGCAAAATCCCCTAGAAGAGATGTCATTGCATTTCACTGTCAGGTCTAATGCTATTTCATTTATTATAGATTGCAAACAAGAATGTGTCCCTTTACAAGACTGATCAAAATGCAAACTCAGCATTTTCTAAAATGAGTGTTTTATGGAAATACTAATAGGATTTAAATTACTCTTTGAGCCCTGGGGTGGTGGGAGAGAATGAAAGCCTGAAAGAGTTAATGTAAACCTGAAACCTTTAATGTCTCGAACACTGGCAGAAGAGAATGTTACCATGCCAACGAGATAAGGTGCAGTTTGAAAAGAGCATCTTGCAGAGGCAGGATGGCGCTTTTCTGGGACCAGCTCCCTTATCCTGGGTAACTATAGCTAAAACCAAATTTGAAACAGCAGTGCATTTGAGTCTATTTCTGGGAGAGGACATGAAATCATGAGACCCCTCCCAAGTCCCTCCTGAAAAGTTTGAGAATAAGAAGATGCTCCTGCATGAAGAGAAGTCTGTAAATATCACAGCTGAGAAGGGCTGTGGATGTACCCACCATCTGGAGGAACTGAACCAGGGATGGCCTTGGAATCCTGGGTGGTGACCTGGGTATTTGTTCTACTTCTGTTTGTCTACCTTTTCTTCATTATTGCTTTCTTCCTTTTCTTAAAAGTTTAATTTATTTCTGCCAGGAGCAGTTCAGAAATCCCTGTTACCACGTGCTGTTCTGGAGGTTTACTCAACAGGCTGTTCAGAAATGTTTAAATTGTTGCTGCCACAGGCTGTTTGATGTATCAAAAGGTTTCGACCATTGTGCCATAAATAAAAATTTGTAAATGATTGTTTGGTGTTGTTTTGCCTTAATTTAGCTCAAGGAAATCTGGAACATCAGCTGCCTCTGAGTAGGCAGACCAGGACTTCCCTTGAGTTGACAAGGTGATGTTTGACCATAGGCTGGACTTGAAGATCTCAAAGGTCTTTTACAGACTAGCCGAGACTGTGATTCTGTGATCACAGTTCTGATTCATTCCTTCAGCAGTAGTATTGTCTATCTGAAGAGTGTTCCCATCCTAAAATCAAAAAATTATAATATAATGGTAATACAATGGTTTTTTCTTCCTCTTTTTCTTCCTTTTATATTTTCTCACATTACACTTCTGCTATTCATATATTTCATTGCCCAGCCACTACCTCTGCTCTCCAATTTTGTTTAACTGTTTCTCTTCTGCACACTTTCTGTCAGACAATGCAAGACCATTTGGTAAGCTCTTCTTATCAGGACTTCAACCATTTGGTCTATTAGCCTTCTTCAGAAGTACTTTAGCTACAGTACCAAGAAAAAACAAAACACCAGACTGTGTATTCCTGTGAAAAAGTATACTTATGAAATTTTTTTCTCCTTTAGTCTTGGATTTCTTTCAAAGAGAATGAATGTCAATTACAGTCTTTCTATTTATTCCATATGCCTGGGTTTCAACATATATGAGTCTGATTAATAAAGTGTGTGTCTTATACATTCAACATAAAGGAATACATGGAAAAAAAAATAAGATTAGGGAGAGGTAAATGATGCAAAGCAGCCTTATTCTATTGATTTCAGTGGAACTATACTGATTCATATATTTTGAAAATGGCCTGCCCCAGAAATAAATTTAATTAACTTAGATCAAAGATCAGCATCCCACAGAAGAAATTTGCGATGTGTTGCACCCACCTTATGGGCCACATGGCTTTGAGGAAGAAGTGGTGATCATTAGAGTAATATAAGAGACAGTGTACTGAGGAACCAGATAATTGGCTCTTTCCAACCAATTTTATAATTTCACATTCACCATGCCCCTTGGACAGTTCACAGTAGATTCTGAACCAAAGAATTAAATAATATCAGCTGCTAAGTCTTTCCTCTGTTCCATATTCACCAGTTTTTCATTTGCTTTCCTTCCAGTTAATTCTGTTGTGCAGAATTTTGAATATGTTCTAAAAGCGCTTCATTACAAGATTTGGCTAAAAGGACTAAGATAATAATAAATAATACCAGAAAAGGATTAAAGTGATGCTATGACCTGGAGAGAACATTAAAGTTTTTAATTGTAGTCTGGTTTTACCTAGTCTCATTGCCTTCTTTGTAAACCTTATTTGAAGACTGATTTTCCTATGTATTTTATTCAAAGAATGATTCTCATAATCTGGATGATGTTTATGATATTGATAGATTGTATTCACTATCAAGAAAACAAAGCTTTGGAAAGTACAGACACAGTCAAATAAGAAATGAAGTATGAAGTATGTTCATTCAATGTGTGCCAGAAATAGAGTGATCGAGTGATTGTTTGAAAAGACAAAATGTTGCTGCTAAGTGTTCATTTTTTTCTAATTTAGTTAAAAAAATAAAGAGCATTATGTTATTTTTAAACTGTTAAGTTTCTGTGAGATTCCAAGAGTAAACAACTCTCATTTCTCACCTAAAAGAAGTTGAGGAAATTATATCAAGAAGAGCAAAAACTGTGAATGGTCTTTCAAAGTCTGTAGTTCACAGCTTAGGTGTTATAAGAGGTTACTGATAGGTTTCTTAGTATGAAAAAATACTGACTTCTTTTCTGCCTGTATTTTTGAGACATTTTTGAGTTTTGTAGAGTTCTCCAAGGTTTCAGCAATATTTTGGCAAGACTGTGGTGGTTTATGTGTTTATGAGTAAAGTCATAGTAAACCAAAAGGATCAGCTGAAACGTCCTTGAGACTCAATGTGCAAACATAAAGTCATCTACAGATCAACTATAATAAATCTATATTTGGTGCATAGTGATTTGCTGGATCAAGCAATGACATCCACTAGTGTAAAAAAAAGAACTGCACCCCTTAGGTATAAGGTAATCAGGAATCACTTTCAGATGAGTGTGAGCAATAAAGAAATATAAATCCATTTATGCAGTATAAACTAATATAAACTTTCCAATTCCTGCATGCACACTTTCTCCCATCCTCTTCTTTTCTCTTTCATTTCAGGAGTACGAGTAAGAAAGAAAAAGGTGTGAGAATTTGGTTTATGCCTGCTCCCTTTCTCAATAGGGAGCAATATCTATAAAGGAAACATTCAAAGGTTTTGAAGTTGCAACAATTTGATCAATTTTTGTGCTGAAGTTTAGGGTTTAACAATTAAGTTTGTTTTTTAATACCCTATCAAATCCAAAACATATATAGAAAATACAGAACTCATTACAGAGCACAGGTGTATAACCTCAAGCATGATAAAAGATATCTTTTATATTTGTGTAATTCTAATGGATTTACACAAAATGATTAGTCATCAGAATATCTGATACCCTTTGTTACATCTTCAAGAAACCAATCTAAGTTTGAAATTTTCCTGCTGCTGAGTTTTTTGTGAGTCAGTCAGGTGTGTTTGATTGTGACTATGCACTGCGTTGAAATGCATATGACATTTGTCATATCAGAAAAGCCATACATTGATGCCTAGTAAAAATCTGCCTCAAAACTTCTAATGCAAATTTGTGCAGTTTGAACAGCTTTGTTTATTTGTTTTTATGAAACTTGCATGCCTGCATTTTTTAGCAGCCATTAATTGCTGTCTCACACTGTTCTCTCTGCCTTCCACTTCATTAATCACAGGACAATGGTAGGCCAGGGGCTGCTTGATAGGAGCATCTAAACTATAAGGAGTAAATTTTCTGCTTCTGCTCTAAACTGTGCAGTAAGCTGCCCTTCCAACATTCTTTGTTTATAAAAAATGTTGTTTGAAAACCTCTTGTGGAAACTGAGCTTCCTCGAAGTCATAGTGAAAGGCACTCTATTATATCTAATATGTACTCACCTTGGCTGTGGATAATCCATGCTGGGACAGAAACACCCTGAATGACTGGATCCTGGATGGGGGGCTCAAGTCAGCAAAAATAATGGGACATGAACCTGAGGAAATGGGGATGAAAGAGGTTTCCTAAATATTCATTGAATAGACTATTCAATATTCATTGAATAGACTTTATTGATTCATTGAATCAATAAAAAAACATTGCATTAATTGCCAGTAAATTAAATTAATTAAACTTACCCATGTTAAGTCCATTTTGCCCAATGCAATGTGTTAACATGACCAGTTTTACCTGGTGTTTTAATATATATTGTGGTCATAAATGTTTTGCTTTAAATTATCCTCACTTAGTTCCTCTCTCAGTAATTTGACAATTTATTTTGCTGACCATATGGCTATAACTATAACCATAATCTTTTGCATTTGAATTGAGGAACAAGGTGCTAAGGACAAATGATAGCAGAATAATTCATTTTCTATCTCTGCTATTTCCTGCAGGAATATTTTGCATAATGAAAACAACATTCTAAATTAAAAGAGTTGCTTTTTGCATATCAAGATTCTTAACCTATTCAGGAGATTTTCTAAATATATTTAATGTTTTTTTAATGCTATAAATTTATATTCGTTTTCATTTAATGCTAGATTTCTAGTAGAAATTGAATTCCTGGAGTTAGAAAAGGGGAAAAATGCTGAGTTCCTGCTTTCATTGGTCAAACTTCCGATTAAAAATTCTGTGCAAAGTCTGTAAAGAAGCATTGGATTTTCAGCACTTAATTACCTTAGCCAGTTGCCATCTGTTCTTTGAATTCTGACCTTTCTTTCCAAGTTGCAGCTACATGGAGTGTCTGCAGTCAAGGCAATTAGATCATGGATGTTTCATGCTGACATTACAAGAGATTTAATGTCCACCTGCAGAACCCTGGTTGATAAATTTAATAGTGATGACACAGTGGCCTCCTGCAACCTTCATCCAGCAACAAAATAATAGTTTATTACACTTGGCATTCTTTGTTTAAAATGTGGCACAATGAGCAGTGGCAAAATCATATTTTGATTTGTTTCTTCAGCCCATGACATTAATCATATACTGTCAAAATCTTTTCATGCTAGTTTCTCACAAAGATGATGCAGGTTAACTCTAAAAAGCAACCCCATAAAATTACCCTTTTCTGGCCTAAGAGGAATAGTCACAGGCTGAAATAGCTTTAAGCCACCTATTCTCCCATAAAATTCTCAGACGGTCAAGGTTTAA